CTTGAACCCACAACCCAGGCATGTGCCCTTGACCAGAATCAAACCCGGGACCCTTTAGTCCAATGCTCTATCCACTGAGCCAAACTGGCTAGGGCTTGTTTTAATCTTAAACATACACACACAAAACAAAACAAAAAAACCCAGCCCTGACCAGTTTAGCTCATGGGTAAAGCATGGGCCTGGGGACTGAAGGGTCCCAGGTTCAATTCTGGTCAGGGGCATGTACCTTGGTTGTGGGCACATACCCAGTGGGAAGTGTGTAGGAAGCAGCTGATCAATGTCTCTCTCTCATGGATGTTTCTAACTCTATCCCTCTCCCTTCCTCTGTAAAAAAAAAGTTTAAAAAAATCAATAAAATATATTAAAAAAAACAAAAACAAAACCCAGACATAGCACTGACTGGTATGGCTAAAGGGTTATAGCATAGCCCAGAGCACTAAGGGTCGCAGGTTTGATTCCTGATCAAAGGCACATACCTGGGTTGCAGATTTGATCCCTAGACCCTGGTAAAGGTATGTGCAGGAGGCAACTAATAAATGTTTCTCTCCCCCTCCCTGCTCCCTAAAAATCAATAGAAAAAATATCCTTGAGTGAGGATTAACAAAACCCAGTAATAGTAAGCCTCAGTCTTCCAAAACTTTTCTCTTTTGATTGTATGATCTATATACTTAGACCACTTAAAATTTTAATATTGATGTGAGCCAATATATGTAAATTTTTTCTAGTAGCCTCATTAAAAAGGTAAAATTTAAATATTTTATTTAACCAAATACATCAAATATAACTCAGTATACAAAAATATTTATATGTGATCAAAATAAAGTGACATTTTCTATATTCCTTTTTGAGGGGTACTAGATCTTTGCTATCTGATATTTTACACTTGTAGTGCATCTCAACTCGAACACTGAATTTTCAAAGGCTAAAGTGAAAGGAAATTGATGTTATCTAGGGGGAATCGTGCCTTGAAATCTGCCTGCAAAATAAAATCTTCTCTCTAAAGATGTTTGGAAGATCAAAACACCAGTGTTGTCTTGCATATGCACACAGATGTGGCAATATGGCTGTGGTTGGTTTAAAATGTGTCCACAAACTCTTTGACATGCCTTCCTTCAGGAGATGAAGATTACTATTCCTTTGAGCGTGGGCCTGACCCAGTGACTCACTCTAACATACAGACTATTACAACCCAAAGAATAGATTAAGAAGACTGTGGCTTTCGTCATGGGCATGCACTTTTCTTGGATCACTTGCGCTGGGAGAAGCCAGCAGCTGAGCTGTGAGCTGCCTTATGGAGACACCCATGTGGAGGAGGTCTCCATTCCAACACCTTGCTAGGAATCAAGGGTTTTCAACCAATGGTCTGTGAGAAACTGAGGCCAGTCAATGACCACATCAGAGAGCTTGGAAGGGAATCCTTTAGCCACAGCCAAGCTTTAAGATGACTAAGTCAGACTGACAATTTGACTCTAACTCAGGAGAGACCTTTGACCAGAACACCAAACTTAAGCTTCTTCCATTTATGACCCACAGAATCTGTAAAATGATGTTTATTTTATGCTAAGTTTTGGGGGCAATGTGTTATGCAGCAATGGAAAATTCATACAATGGCTTATGGCTTGAAAAAGCTCATTGCTTGCCGAAACCGGAGCGTCGGTCTGCGGACTGAAAGGTCCCAGGTTCGATTCCAGTCAAGGGCACATTGGTTGCGGGCACATCCCCGGTAGGGGGTGTGCAAGAGGCAGCTGGTAGATGTTTCTCTTTTTTTTTTTTTTTTTTTTTTTTTTAGATGTTTCTCTTTCATTGAGGTTTCTAGCTATCTATCCCTCTCTCCTCCTCTCTGTAAAAAAATCAATAAAATATGCCGAAACCGGTTTGACTCGATGGATAGAGTGCCGCTTGGGGACTAAAAGGTCCCGGGTTCGATTCCGGTCAAGGGCATGTACCTTGGTTGTGGGCATATCCCCAGTAGGGGATGTGCAAGAGGCAACTGATCGATGACTCTCTCAAAGATGTTTCTAACTCTAACTCTCTCCCTTCCTCTCTGTACAAAATCAATAAAATATATATTTTTTTAAAAATCAATAAAATATATTAAAAAAAGAAAAGAAAAAGCTCATTGCTAAATGAAGCATAATCAAGTAAGATACTTCTCTTCCCAAGCGGCCCCAAATGAGTTTATCTTGAATACATGATATAACAACTTTTGAAATTAACCCTGAGTATGAATCTTATTCTTTGGAATGTTGCTTAATGGTCCCAATTCAGCATTTAAAATTATCTGTCATTTACAGTTAAGTCTGGTGGTGAATAAATATTTTCACATGGAGCAAGCTTCAAAATTGCTTCTAAAAGAAAAAAGGCTTAATTTTCAGGTACTAGCTTGAAAGATGATACTAATTTGGATATGTAATTTTTTCTTCCTTCCCTCCAAAATGACATCATTACTTTATAGTCATATCTCATTGGATGGGTAAATTAAGCCAGACTTTTGAAGACCACAATATACATTGGGAAATTAGTATTCTTTGTGATGTTTCATTAAACATTTTCTTTGGAATTCGGAGAAATGACCACTAGATGACACTGTTGTTTTTTTAAGGTTATAAAACAGGATGAAAGAACAGTTCAGAATAACAAAATCAATTTTCACATCATAATGAACACTAGAAGAGAAACTGTTGGACTATGTCCAATAAAAGAGCCAAGACCTTGTTTTCACTACAGAACTTTATTGTGAAAGTAAATTAAACATACAAACACACAGTATGGCTAATAGTGGCAAAAGCAATCTGGTAGGTTAAGGCAAGTTTTAATGGAGATGAATTTAGAAAAATGATGCAATGGTATAATTTTGTTTAAATATAAGTTTTGAAAAAATATCAGATTGCATCAATAACTTAATAAAAGTAGTTTTCAAAGTCTGCACTATTGGAGAAAAAGGGCTCATGATCTTAATGCCAGCATTAAGACAGACAAAAGCAGCACAATGCTAAATGACAGGGGAAACTCAGTATTTACAGAAGAATGGCAACATGAACACTTAATAGCTTTTGATCATAACTACTGGTGGACTAAAAGCAATAGAGAATAATGTACCATCATCATCATTGTTATTAAAAAAAATTTTTAAGTGCAGAAGTCAAAAACCAAGGAGCTTTGTGATAAAGTAACCTTAAAACACCACTGTAAGGACCACTTAAAAGGCGATTCCCTCAGGGGAAATTAGGGCACTGAGTGTGTAAACATGTGAGCTGTACAACATCAAATAACAACCAAATTCATTCATAGTACTTAAGTTACACAAGATTAGCATGGTCTTTTATGATGTATTATTGTTTATAACAATTTAAACACACTCCTTTACCATGCATGAATTCAAATATATAACAAACATTTTTATTCTGAGATACTGGATATGTTTATGAATTATAAGACCTATGTACAATGAAAGTCATACCTCCCTCATCAATCAAGTATATATATGAATATATATATATATATATATATATATATATATATATACATATATATATATATATACTGGTGTATACATACATATATGTTTTAAATGCAATGACCTCATTCAGAATTCAGTTCATTTTCTAAACCGACCATGTCAGTTTTTCAAATCCTTTAAAATAATGCCATTCTATTATGATAAAATACATTTTTGCAAAAAATTCGGAAATGTAGTAACATTTAATGAATGTAACCATGAAAAATATTTGTAAGGAGGTGCCAAATGACTTAGCACTTTTTTCCAGTCTTGTATTAAAAACAAAACAAAACAAAAACAAGTTGCATTCACTTTGACAGTGAGCCTATTTAAAAAATATTCCCATACTAATTCATCTCAAAAGGTTCTACTAATAGTCCTTTTGGAAAATACCTTATATATAACCTGTTAATTTCCCCCCCATAATAATTAATGGAAGAAAATGTATCCTCTGCACAGATGAACATTTTCTCTCTAAGACTAATCTTTTATCACCCAGCATTGTTTTTACAAAAGCATGCAATATAAAATACACATAAAAGCAGCTATCATAAACATGATTTTAATACAAGATTACCTTTGTAGCTGATTCATCACTGTCTCCAGTTTAATATGTTGTTACATACATGAAGAAGCTCCAGTATCCCTTTTTTGATTGACGTAAAAAAAAGAAAATCCCTGAATAAAACAGAAGCCAGCCTGCGACTTCTTTAGGCATTTCAGTAGAATATTATAATTTAAGGAGAATATCTCCACACAAACTCATGATTATAGAACAGAACCTAAAATAAATCTGGGGAAGATGAGAGTCAATGCCAATTAAAAAATTTTATATTTAAGAAGGAAAGAAAAGGAGCTGATTATCAACATTTAAGAGGATACTGCAACTTTAACTGTAAACTTTGTTAGAAGGCTGTGGCAGACAGCTCTATGCTACTAGGGTTTTAGCTTGTAAATAATGCAAACACATCAGCAGTTTTAAAATGCCATAGACAAAATGCCAAAACACAAAAGAAAATGGGGAAACAAAACAAAAAAACAAGAATGCCTAGCTAAAATGCAGCTGTATAACAACACACCTAAAATCACAAAAAAGAAAAGAAAAATTAGAGTAAATGATTAGGAATAAAACCCTCTGATAAAAATTTCAATTTCTTGACTTGTTTTTAAATGACATGAACTTTTAAATTAAGATGGAGGACAAATAAGAGCTTTACAAGTAGATAGTTTCAACTCACTAAAATAATGCCATCAAGGTAAGTTTGCATAGAAAAAATGTAAAATCATTACTGGCTACATGCATACAAAATTAGAAATTCAGGTATAATCATAGTGCAAAACCATGGCAGTTTGTGATGTCTTGTTACTGCCTAAGGTTGAGAGATAGGCTGTATGTAGTACCTCCAGTTATCACAGTTTCTGGTCTTTTAATCAATTATTTTTGTCGACTAGAAACAATGTACACGAAACGATTTGGGGGGCACATCTGCTGTGCTCTTAATTAACGAAGTTTGAAGTCATCACCACCTAGATTGGCACCAGGACTAGGGTCTTGTTGTCTTCTTGCCTGCAATGACAAAAACCATAGTTGGGGATCAAAATGTGTTTGAAAATCCAAGTGCTAGATAAATAAGACAGTAGTAGCACATAAGTAAAGTTTGCAAGTTAAATATTTTCAGCCAATATCTATCCACATGTAAGAGGAAAAAGAACAATTTAAATTATGTATGAAATATTTGGCTAAAGTTTCCTTAAATACCAAGAATAAAAATATTGTTATATTTAAAAGAACATAACTGAAACATGTACCATGTATAAAAGAACAACAAATTTACATTTACTCTTTTGGAACTAAAGAGTTTAACTTACAACATAGTTGCTATTATTTATCCATTTTACAGCTACAGAAAAATGGTTGAAAATGTAATGAATTTCATCTCTTATTGAATTTCTTCTTTGCCACCTGAACTTGAACTAAAAATCCCCCATCTCAAGAAATAAAATCCAGACTTACTATGGATAAAATATTGTCTTCCAAAAGCAAAAATAGGAATGTAAAATTAGAGTTCTTGGTGCACAAGGGGAGCAGTTAGGTGTCGATCAGTCTGCATACTTTTAGGGCATTCTTTTCATTGAACTAATCAGATTCAAGTTATGCTGCATGGTTATAGATTGCAAGAGCTATGGAATATACATGGGTCAGAAAAACAATCTATGTTCCACATGAAATCAATGCTAAATGTAATATAAGGACAGATCAATTCTGCAAAATCAGAGATGATATAAATATTGGGTTTCAGTCAATGAAGGGTAGAAAGAGGCTGAGCAATGAAGAAACAATGAGAAAAAGCAATCCTAATTATCATACCTAATAAAGAGGTAACATGCAAATTGACTGTCACTCCAACACACAAGGTGGCCACCCCCATGTGGACACAAGATGATCACAAGATGGCCAGCAGGGGAGGGCAGTTGTGGGTGATCAGGCCAGTTGGGGGGGACCCAGGCCTGCAGGGAAGGGCAGCTAGGGGTGACCAGGCCTGTAGGAGAGGGCAGTTGGGGGTGATCAGGCCTGTAGGGGAGGGCAATGGGGGGAGGGGAATCAGGCCTGCAGGGAAGGGCATTTGGGGGTGACCATGCTGGCAGGGAAGGGCAACAGGCCAGTAGGGGAGCAGTTAGGTGTCAATCAGACTGGCAGAGAAGTAGTTAGGGGCAATCAGGCAGCCAGGCAGGCAAGCAGTTGGGAGCCAGCAGTCCTGAATTGTGAGAGGGATCCCAGATTGGAGATGGTGCAGGCTGGGCTGAGGGACATACCCCCCCCCCCGCCCCCCGTGCACGAATATAGTGCACGGGGCCTCTAGTATATTTATAAAGCACTACAAACCTACCAATAGCAATCTTATCTCAAGACAAAAGTGCATTTCAGCTTTTGTCTTGAGATAAGAGTCATTTTCAAATTATCTTAATAATAAAGGGATGAGCCCTAGCAGGTTTGGCTCAGTGGATAGAGCATTGGCCTATGGACTAATGGGTCCCAGGTTTGATTCTGGTCAAGAAAACATGCCCAGGTTGCAGGCTCTATCCCCAGTGTGGGGAGTGCAGGAGGCAGCCAATCAATGATTCTTTCTTATCATTGGTGTTCTCTCTCTTTCTCTCAGAAATCAATAAAAAATATTTTAAAAATAATTATTAAAATAATAATAATAATAATAATAATAAAGGGATGACTCCAAAGGAGTACAAACAATCAGCAGCAGCTGGAGTTCTCCCTGATCATGGCTATGCAGAGGTTAACATAGGTTTGTTTATATTTTGCTATTTATTTATGATTTTAGTTTCTATTTACATTGTTAAGAAGAAATGAGATAGATATAAGTCATGTGAAGGAGGGTCAATAGGAAAATTAAAAGAGAAATCTGATAAGAGTATGAATGAGAGCAGAAGAGGGAAGAATGAGAGAGCTGGAAGCCTGGGAGGAAATTTAATGCTTGAAGAGATGTATGGGCTGCCACAAGGAGACAAATATAAAAACAGATTAGGTTCAGTGAAATTGCTTCCACAGGACAAATTTAACAAATGCATGTGCCGTCTTAAGAAGCAATGCTTTCTACTACGGCAGTTTTCTAATGGAGGGTGGATGTTTTAGAATAGGGTTCTAATGTACATCAGATATGAGGCTGTTTAGAATACAATGTCTTTAATATTTATAAATAATTAATATAGATAACTTTACTACAGATCTTTCTGTCAGTTGTCCTTGTTTTCTTTCTTTCTCTCTAATATATTTTTATTGATTTCAGAAAGGAAGAGGGAGAGATAGGAACATTGATGAAAATCATTGATCAGCTGCCTCCTGCACACCCCCTTACTGGGGATCAAGCCTGCAACCCAGGCATGTGCCCTTGACCAAATCAATCCTGAGACGCTTCAGTCAGCAAGCTGACGCTATATCCACTGGGCCAAACCAGCTAGCTGGGGCTTGTTTTCTTTCTTTTAAATCAGTGTTTCCCAAATTTTTGACATATGTGTACCCCTTCTATAATTTTTGTAACGCTGAGTACCCCTTGTACTCAAGAGAACGTAGAATTAGGCGCAGCTAAGCACGGTGCAGTGCATATCCCCACCAAACTCTTCCCGCACTCCTGGGGGTATGGGTACCACACTTTGGGAAACACTGCGAAATCATCAAATTAGTGAGTACGCTTCTTGAGAAAATGCCCTAATAATTAAAAATAGTTAAACAGGGGACTCTTTCCCCCTCTCCACATGGGAGTCTGTGCTTGTTTCTCAATAAATTTCTATCTTTGCTATAAAAAAAATAGTTAAACATTGGTGGGGGTGTGCAGGATAGGAGCAGTCTATTAATGATTCTCTCTCACCACTGATGTCCCCCCTCCCTTCCTTTCTCTGAAATCAATAGATGTATATATTTTTTTAAAGTATACCATAAATATTTTAACTATAAAGTAAAAATAATCCACATTTCTGGACTTGGATAGGGATGGCTCTACCATCTTAGCTATATGATCTTAGACAAGCTTCTTATCCTCTCTCAGACTCAGTTCTTCAAAATAGAGACACACTTTATAAGAGAATTTAAGAATCAAGGGTAAAGCAAATATTGTAGTGTATCCAGCTGTGTCATCATTTCTCATGTGTGGCATATACTTAGCATTCATGCTGCTGTTATTAGAACTAAGCTGCTCATCATGTCTCAATTTTATCTATATGAACTTTTCAAAAGTTAAAAAAAACCCTGAATCCTACAATTAAGGGTAATTTTACAAACTAAAACAAGATTAAAACAAAATAAATTAAATATAAATATATATATATATATATATATATATATATACACACACACACACACACACACACACACACACACACACACACATATATATATATATATTATTGATTTTTTACAGAGAGGAGGAGAGAGGGATAGAGAGCTAGAAACGTTGATGAGAGAGAAACATCGACCAGCTGCCTCTTGCACAACCCCATGCCCTTGACTGGAATCGAACCTGGGACCTTTCAGTCCGCAGACCGACACTCTACCACTGAGCCAAGTCGGTTTTGGCAAAACAAAATAAATTTTAATAAAGTCTACATTTCCTACATCAGACAGCAAACTGAGACATTCTCTCAGTGTGGGAGAAGACAGATTTAGTATCCTCTTCCTCACAAATCCTTTTTTCAGTCTCATTCTTAATCCCAGTTCATAGTTCATATTCACTGTTTACTCTCATCTAATGCCTATAAGCCAACACACACTTCAAAAAGGCCAGTAAAGACAGATTCTTATGTTAATTGTTCCCTCCTTACCCAAATATGAGTGTTGGTAGAATTAAGTGATTTGAAAACTGAAGTCTGTGGGAATTTAAAATGAATAAGGTTGGGATTTTTTTTTTCTTGGACCACACAGAATAGAAGGCTCCAAAAACATACAAAACACAAACACAAAAAAACCACATAAAGCCTTTGCCTGTTTTTACTTCCAAATAGTTTCCACATAAAATTCTTCTATGATTTGCTGAATTGCATTAAAACTGCCTAAAGTGGGACAAGCAATAATTTACCCATTCTGACATTAAAGATAACAACTTAGATGAAGCTGGTTTGGCTCAGTGGATAGAGCGTTGGCCCGCGGACTGGGAGGTCCCAGGTTCAATTCCGGTCAAGGGCATGTACCTTGGTTGCGGGCACATCCCCAGTGGGGGAGGAGGGGGGGAATGTGTGTGCAGGAGGCAGCTGATCGATGTTTCTCTCTCATCGATGTTTCTAGCTCTCTATCCCTCTCTCTTACCCTCTGTAGAAAATCAATAAAATGTATTTTAAAAAAAGATAACTTCTTTGCTAACACTTTATAACCTAACCAATAGCAGTTTCTAGATACTAGAGAAAATGTCATTCAGCACTGTCACTTTGCAGCTGAATTAAGAACAGTGCCATATTATAGTTTTATGTTAAGAGACCAATTAAGAAAGCTGTTTCTAGTCACAGGGTGCGTACAAACCGCTATCAAACTGATGAGAGGTATATTTCCCATTTATCTATGACCAGAGCATGTAGCCTGTCCCTTATTAACCTCAATCTCCCTCAACAAAAGCCAAAAGTAAGGTATTTGAATTATAGTTACAGAGATATGTAACCTGAAGAGAACTGTCATAGGTAGCATGTCAACATTTTCAAATCAGGGGAGAAAAGGCACAGGACTACTTCCATGAGGCAACAGGCATTAAATGGCAGGCGAATTTCATAGAATAAATGTCTGTGATTATTTTATTTATTTATTTATTTATTTATTTTTAAAAATATATGTATATATATTTACTGATTTCAGAGAGTAAGGGAGAGGAAGAGAGAAAGAGAAACATCAATGATGAGACAGAATCATAGATCGGCTACCTCCTGCACGCCCTCTACTGGGGATCGAACCTGCAACCCAAGCTTGTGCCCTTGACTGAAATTGAACCTGGGACCCTTCAGTCTGTAGGCCAATGCTCTATCCACTGAGCCAACCATCCAGAGCTATTTTTTCTTTTAAAAAGTCTACATTTTTTA